CAGCTGGCACTCTGAAGAAAGAGACTGGAGGCGGGTAGCTCTGTGAACTTCCAAGGCTGGAGGAAGCACTGGAGCGTGAGGATGCCCTGTCACTTTCTCTGCAGGTAGAAATCTGCAAATTCTAGAACTGCTGTGAAACTGATTTCTGGTTCAGCTTTCATGGAATAGAAATACAGATTCATAGTCATTTTTTTTTTTTTTTTTACATTAATGATGCCTACCTTTCCAGTGACCTCATTTCTATGAAAGCAAAGACGATTGTATCACCAAAATTCAATTCAGTGAGTTTGGAGAGTTCTGGTCTCCTGGACACAGCCTACCCTTGTCTGGCAAAGTTAGTGAGAGCTATGGAAGTTCTGTTTCTGATTATACCTATAGATCTCTCAGAGTCGGGCTTTCAGCCTTTGTTCCATTAAAACGAGAGCCAAAATTGGCTGGATGGATATCAAAGACCTCATGCACATTGGCATGGCGTAAACTACCCTGCAATTTTTTATTTTATTTATCCTCACCCGAGGATATATATTTTTCCATTTTTTGTACAGATAGAGTGGGAGGGAGAGAGAGAGAGAGAAACATCGATGTGAAGGGACACATCGAGTGGCTGCCACCCGCACGACCAACCAGGGCCAGGGACAAACTGCAACCGAAGCACGTGCCCCTAGCGGGAACCGAACCCGGGTCTCTCCGGACCGCAGGCCAACACTCTAACCGCTGAGCCAAACTGGCCAGGGCACTACCCTGCAATTTAAACTTCTTATTCAAGCCAAACAACAACAGTCCTCTTGTCTTTGAACTTTACTGTTGAGCCAAATGTCAGTGGCCAGACTCCCCAATCCAGTGCCTGGTCCCCAGCTTCATGTGATAGGACCGTCATGATGGCAGCAGTTGGAGTAGCAGTAGCAACCCCGCCCTCTCACTCACAGCTGTGGTGACTTTAAAACACCCGCCCCCCACTCCAAGCCCCACTTAGAATAGTAAGCTACAGCTGGGTGATGAGTACATGGAGTTTACTGTACTATTTTATCTACTTTTGTGTTTGTTTGAAAATTGTCATAATAAAAAGTGAAAGAAAGAGAGGAAAAGAGAAAAGGAAGAAAAGGGAAAGGAGGGGAGGGGAAAAGGAAGGAAGGGAAGGAAGAAAAGAAGGAAAGAAGGCTGGGTGGAGGGGGAAGGAGAGGAAATGGCAGACATCTGCAATACTGTCAAAAATAAAATCTTTTTTTTTTTTTAAAGAAGGAAAGGGAAGAAAGGGATCCATTGGCTGTCTCAAGTCCATTAATCATGAAATTTCAGAATATTGGGAACAAAGAGACTTTTGGAGAGACAAACCAGGTTCTTACATTACACATTTATGTAAAAATGGCTGAAACAAGACAAAACAAACCAATACTTGACAACACCACATGCTGGCATGGATATGGAGCACCAGCAACTCCCCTTCAGTGCTGGTGGAAATGCTGAATGGTACGGCCACTGTGGAAGACACTTTGGCAGTTTCTTACAAAGCTAAACATATTTTTAACACACGATCCAGTAATCATGCTCCCAGGTACTTACCCAACTAAGTTGAAAACTATGTTCACACAAAAACCTGCACACAGATGTTTACAGCAGCTTTATTCATCAAAAGCTGACTCAAGCCCTGGCCGGTTTGGCTCAACGGTTAGAGCGTCGGCCTGTGGTCCGGAGAGACCCGGGTTCGGTTCCCGCTAAGGGCACGTACTTCGGTTGCAGTTTGTCCCCGGCCCTGGTTGGTCATGCGGGTGGCAGCCACTCGATGTGTCCCTTCACATCGACGTTTCTGTCTCTCTCTCCCTTCCTCTCTCTCCCTCCCACTCTATCTGAACAAAAAATGGAAAAATATCCTCGGGTGAGGATAAAAAAAAAAAAAAAGCTGACTCAAGATGCCCCGTCCCTCAGGAGGTGTATCAGTTTCCTAGGGCTGCTGTAAGGAAGCACTACAAACCAGATGGTTTAAAACAACCAAACGTAATCTCTCACAGGTCTGGAGGCAGAAGTTTGAAATCAAAGTTTTAGCAGGGCCATGCCCCTCTGAGACTCTGGTAGAATCCTTTCTTGCCTCGTCCTAGTTCCTGGTGGTGGCTATGGATCCTTGGCATTCTTTGGTACTTGTAGCTGCATCACTTTAGTCACTGCCTCTGTCACCTGGTGGCCCTCTCCCCTGTGTATTTCCTCAGGGCATTTTCTTCTTTTTATAAAGACATCAATCATATGGGATTAGAGTCCACCCTAATGACCTTGTCTTATGGTGATTACATGTGCTCTTTTCCAAATAAGGTTATATTCACAGGTACCATGGATTATGACTTCAATATATCTTTTCAGAGGAGGTGAGTCAATCCAAAACAGTAGGTAAATGGAGAAACTGGAATGTTCATACAATGGAATATATTCAGTGATAAAAAGCAATGAGCTGTTAAGCCATGAAAAGATATGAAAGAATTACATTGCTTAATGAAAAAACCATCAGTAAAGGTTATGCAGTGCATGATTCCAACTATATGACATCTGGAAAAGGCAAAACTAAAGAGTATAAGAGAAGTTATTGCCAAGAGTTGGGGTGAAAGAAGGGGTGAGGTTTAAATAGTGAAGCACAGGGATTTTTATGACAGTGAATCTGTTCTATATGATACTGTCATGGTAAATGCCTGATATTATGCATTTGTCAAAATCCATAGAACTATAAAACAAAAAGAATGAATCTTAATGTAAACTATAGACTTTAATTATTAACAATGTATCAGTATTGGTTCATCAGTTGTAACTAATGTGCCATGTAATGTGAGATTTTGAAACGGGAAACTGTGGGTGGCAGACATTGGGTATATGGGAACTCCATTCTCTGGTTAATTTTCCTATAAACCTAAAGCTGCTCTGAAAAAATGAAGTCTACAAATTAAAAAAAAAAATTTTTCATTATGGACTCTAAGGCTCCAGTATCATTTCTTTCAGGAAGTCTTTCCTACTCTTCCATCACATTTCCAAGATGGGTTGGATGACTTTCTCCCCGGCTCCAGTAATACCCTGGGCATATATATTCTGATGGCTGCATCCGCCACATTATATTAGAATTTGTTTGTGTCTCTGTCAGTTAATAACTGTGGTTTTTTGACCCTTGGCCTAGAAGCAGAGATGGTGAAAGCAGCAAATCCATGCAACACTTTAGCAGGCACCCAGGGATGCCTGGTAAAGGGCACTTCTGTTCCCTCGATGCACTGATGATGTTATTTGTGGTGTAATCATTATGAGGCCTGTGACCCACTAGGCTATTTTTTAGATCAGGGCATAAGGCATTCATATCACATTAAGGCTGATTTCAACCTGAGCAGTCTCTGGATATGCCCATGGGGAAGCTTTTGCCCTGTGAAACTTCTCTGGGGTTCAAATCCTGTGGTTTTGATGTAAAATCCATGCTGTTTTCATTACATAACACTCTCCTTCAATCTTGCTCAAGTTAAAAGGTGGTATGAGGGGTGACTGGCACAAATGCCTATATGACAGGTAACATGAATGAGGAAAGCAGACTTGGTCTGGAGGGGACCTTATGAAAAGTCCCTGCCTGATCTAGGGTGGGCAGCCACTCCATGGCTTCAGGCAACTGTTGCCACACAGAAATGTGGATACAGTGTTACCAGACAAGGCAGAGATGCAGATTTTTGTTCACAGAAATCTCATCTTTAAAAACTGTTGGCACGGAACACAAATGGTTTAGAAATACTGGAGCTAGCTTATTAGGAGGAGAAAGAATCATCCAATTGAATTGGGGTTTTATGATCCCAGAGAAATAGCAGAGAACGGCAAAAGGGTAAGGACAGCTTCTGGAGAACCTTGTCACACTAGAGGTGCTTTTCAATTGTCTTCTGGGTCTGAGTAACCACCAAAGGATTTAAGCAAGAAAGGGACATGATTAGAATGGCATTTGTAAAGGATCACTTTGGCAGCTGATGGGGGTAGGGCTGGGAGTAGGGTGATGAGTTAGAAGTCTGTCATTAAGCTGAGTCAGGGTAAAGGAGATGACAAAGACCTATCCACCTTGTCCTTTCTCCTCCCAGACTGCACACCCCAAGACAGAAGGGCCTCCTCTGCTCTTGCTGTCTCCAACACTAGGCTCAAAGACTGCTCAGGACATATTTGTTGAAAGAATGGATAAAAGGAAGTGGAGGTGAGAGGCATTTTGAAGAATTGTGTGAGTCAACTGCTTTCACCTGAAACCTATATAATTTTATGAACCAATGTCACCCCAATAAATTCAATTTAAAAAAAAAAAAAAGAGTGAACTGCCTTGGGAGGCACAGAAAGCTGTTAATGGAGAGGGCAGTCGGGGCAGTGGGGGCCAGTTTCCTCTCCTTGCGTTTCCGCTAAGAGCTTGGGAAGGAGGGTATTCAATCCATTAATAAATCATAGCCACACACCTCAAAAAAACCCTCCATCGGTTCAATTCCCTTAAGGACTGAAGAGAGGATTGGAGGGAAATGTAGGGGTAAGCAATTTCTGTCCTTCCTCAGGTCCAGTATTCCCAAAGGACACAGCGAAAGGGGCCTCACCCTCCGAGCCCTGGGCGGTTAGTTCGGGTGGGGTAGGGGCCGGTGACCTCGGACTCACTCGGCCTGGCCCTGGCGAGCTCCAAGCCTAAGCAGAGGCGCCAGGCCCGCCCAACCCCAGCCTCGCCCGGTCCTTGTTCCCCCACGTCCCGGTCCTTGACCCTCCCCCGACACACTGCCCCTCTCCTCCCACCTCCTCTTTCCGCTCCCCCGCCCCCATTTCCGTCCCCTCCGCCCCCCGCCTGCCCCTCCCGGCCCGGGCCCTCCGCCCTCCCGCGTTCGCCGCATCCCGGCCCTCCGCCCGGCTTCCTCCGCCCTCCGTCGGCGCCCCTCTCGGGCGGCCGGGGCAACCCCGTGCCCCGCTCGCCCAATGAGGAGACGGCGCAGGGGCGGGGCGGGGCTCGGGCCGGAGCGGAAGTGGTGACCGGAGCGGAAGTGGAGCTGCCGCCACCGCCGCCGCCGATTCCGGAGCCGGGGTAGCTGCCGTGCCGCCGCTGCAGCCGCCGCCGCCGCTGCTCCTGCTGCCTGAGGAGTGGGCTTGGGAAGGAAGCGGTCACCGCGCTCGGAGCTCTGCTCGCCATCGTCTTTGCCCCCTGCCGACCTCCCACGGTGAGTGCGGCGCGGGGTCCGCCCGGGGCCCCCGGGGGCCCCAGCCCGAAGCTCCCCCCGGCGACGGTGGCGGCGGCGACCAGGGCGACCCCCGGGTGGGCTCCAGGGGGAGCGGCGCGCGCCCTCCTCGGCCCCGCGCGGCCGCCTGCGGCACGGGCCCGGCCTCGCCGCGGCCCCTCCCTGTTTCCGGGGCCGGGCCCTCTGCTCCTGGAGAGGCCCGGCCGCCCTCGCCGCCTGCGGCCCTGCCGGGCCGGCTGGGTGCGGCTCCGGGCCGGGCCGGAGGGAAAATCGAGCCGCGCACCTCGGACCCTCCCTCACTGCCCAGTTTCGGTCCCCGCGCGACCCTTCCCTGCGCCTGGGGCGTCGAGATCCGACCTTTTCAGCCCTGTCACCCCTGCTTCTTGCTTTCCGGTTCCCCAAAATTAAAATTGAACCAGATGTGGGCGAGTTCTCGAGCCCCAGTGCCCCTGCTGGACTCCCCAGGATGGGCAAGGGGTTTAACCTTGGGAGAGAACAGAGAGCAAACCCCCTCCCACTTTGCAGTAAAGCCATTTCATCATCGGCCGCTGGTTCTGGAGCCTGGCAGGACCCGAGAGCCCCTGGGAAGCACAGGGTTGAGGTTGGAGTCAAGAAAATGCATTTGTTGGAACCGGTTAACGAGTCAGGCCGGATCCTCGGGGGGGAAAAATGCCAGAGACTGAGAATCGAGTCTTTTCCCACGGTATTTACCGTCTTAATGCCAGAGTCTTTTGTATCCTCGCCCAAAATTCCCCCATACTGTGTGTTAGCATGTTTTTAGCACTGAGATTTGCCTGATGGCCTCCCTGGTGGTAGGGAAGGGTGGGAGTGATTTGGGGCCCTTTTCTTCATAAGATGAGCACATCTTTGTCTGCTGCAAATGGAGAACTCGCGTGTAAAGGGGTTTTCAAAGGTGGCAGTATTGGTAAGACAGTTTGCCAACCTTTCTGTACGAACCCATCCATGTCTCTTGTCCTAGCCTCACTGCTTTTCTCCTTGGAAGGCTAGATAGCATCAGGCTCTGGTTTTGCTTGCCCTGTGTAGGAGATGGAATTTGGCAAGATGATGTTATGAACACACGTGTGTGTGTATATATATATAAAGGCTGCCACAGGAGCCCCAAAAGAAAGATGAAGCACTTGTAAAGATACAAAAATTGCATTTCTCGCTCTGTCTCAATTGTTCGTATGAAACCATACACATGTGCAGTTTATAGAACAGGACACGTGGCTACTCAGCTTTGCATTTTCCTGTTAGAAGTTAAAATGTATAAATATGACTTGGTTCATAGTGATTTTCTTCTTGAACACTTCCATTGCACCCCATTCTTTATTTGTGGGTATGTGTCTCAGTTACCTGAGCCCTCATTTTTCTCGGATCTATGTCCTTAGCAGCATACAGGATGGTAAGGGTAAAATCTGTCAGTTTTCTGGACCCACATTTTAGGTGTGGTCTTCAAAATGGAAGGCTAATCATTCAGTAACAACTGCTGAATTATTTTCCTAGCTCCTCCTTTCAAAGAGATAAGAAACCATTCACCCATCTTACAGATGGAGTCTTTATGAGAAGTGAGGTGATTTGGCCTAGACCACATACCTGGTTTTCAGATTGAATATCTGCATTCATCAGTAGTAAATATTTATGGACTGTCAGCCCCTGGGGTATGGCTCCTACCCTATAATCTTCTGTACATTTCCCATCATGCTGTGCTTGTGTTATGTTGAAGCCATTTTAGAATTGGAGCTCTATAGCAGGGAGGCAGCCTCCATAAAACCAGGCTGAGCACATTCCCATGATGCCAGTTCCCAAGGCAGAGTCTCCAGATTTTGGGGCCACTGCAAAAAGTGCATTTTACCCATTTGGCTGTGGATATAGAAGCAGAAAGAACACTAGACTTGGAGTCAGAACAATTCGATTCAGGTCTTGCCTGCAGCATTTTCTAGCTGTGTGATTTTCAGCGTGCTGCTTAATCTCTGGTTCTTGGTTTCTGTAGCTCCAAAGTTGTCATGAGGTCTTCCATAAAATGTAGATTGTTAAATATAAGCGGTTGGTTTTGTTTTCTAATCACAGAGTTTACTGTTAATGGTTTTTTCCCCTCCAGTTGCATTCTGATGAGACCCAACCTTTTTATACATGCTGCTTTAAAAAATAGACATAGTGTTGCAGAATCTTATTTTGTGTCTAGCATCTCCAATCTTTTGAGCACATTTTCTCATCAGTATAATGCAAACGGTGATAGCCTTTAATGTGTTATTGTGACGAACTCAGTAATTAAGGATCTGGGATATAGTAGATATTCAGTACATGTTTTTGACCATGTAAATGAATATACACATATATAAGATTAGATGTGTATATACTATAAAGCGCAGGCACATGCAGAGTTCACTCATTTGTGATTTATTCACCAACTGATGAGGTAGCATCAAACAATCCGTCTGTAATAATAATAACTACTAATTGTTTAGCTTACTATGTGCCAAGCTTTGTCTAAGCATTTTACACATTCACTAATCCTTCATAACAGCCAATGGTAGGTAAGCACTGTTAGCCTCATTTTACAGATGAAGAAACTGAAGCACAGAGAACTTAAATAATTTTCCTAGGGATGTACACACAAAGCACAAGGTAAGTAAGTGTTGGAGCCAGGAATCAAACCCAAGTAGTCTGGCTCTACACAGTATATCTTTTGTGTGTATACTGTTTCACCTTAATTTTTCTTTACATGTGCCTTTTTAAAATAATTGTGTTTAAACAGAAATTTTAGCTATTTTTGAAAATAAATACAATGTAATTGGGAGGGGATATACACATTCTGGACTGAAGGGATGATACTGCTTGTGAAAGACCATTTTTCCTAGTATTTGCTTCATACTAGAGAGAAAGTTCATCAGTTACTTTGTGGCACACTGATTTAGCCAGTCGTAGGTTCTTCATCTAATTGAATTTAGTCAGGATCACCTTTATTAATTTTTCTTTATCATACTACCTTTTTTTTTTAAGTCCTCACCTGAGGATATTTTCCCTTTGATTTTTTTTTTTTTTTTAAGATAGAGAGGGGAAAGGGAGAGAAACATCAGTGTGAGAGAGACACATCACTTAGTTGCCTCCTGCACAACCTCGACTCTTTGGTCCATGGGCCAGACACTCAAACTGCTCAGACCGGCCAGGACCATACTATTCTACCTTTCTATAGAGTTTTAGATTTTTCCATACTTTGTTGGGGGGGGGGGGGATGAGGAATACATCTACATAAGTAGAGAGAAAATTCTAAATTATAACATCCTGTTAGAATGCCTGCTCTTTCAGTGGCATCAGACTAAGCAGTTTTTCTTTTAATGAGGATGGATACCTTAGAGAATAAACTAAAATACATTTGTAAAGAAACTTTGTTTCTGAGTGTCTAGAGGTGACAGTTCACTAGCTAGGGAGCAAGAAATTAATTGTATAATAACAGCTTTTAAGATTTGGAATCATCTTGGTCTCATTATGAATCACTTCTGTGTGGTGATGGAGAAACTAATAGACAAACTAACAGAGTTGGATTCTGAGGGAATTTTTCTAAGCGGAATATTTAGGAAGGAAATATAGACCAATGCACTTTCCATTTTGTGATGTGTATGCTAAAATCCTATTATCTTGCTGCTTTCTCTGCTAAAAAATCTAATATAGGCAGCGTTTTGTATTTGTGTAATGAGATGAAATTGATTCATGGCCTCAAGAGAACAAATCATTCCCAGCAGACTGAGTGAGATGACCTTTTAAAAATCTGGCCATTTCTCTATTATGTAAGTTTATTTCATTGTTTTCCCCAAGACCCCCAACAATAAAGTTATTTCTGAATGGCCTTGACCAGGACAGAGATTGAGGGCAACAATAAAGTACATGTGCGCCCTGGCTGTTATTGTTTGTCCACAAACCTTACCTTAAAGCTTCTTGAACAGTCGGTGAGTTTCAAGCATACGCTGTTTTTAACTGCTTAATTTGATTTTGGCTTTTAAAGCTAGATAAATTAAGGTCAGTTCTCAAACCTCACTGGAATAACTTTAAGAATCTTCGAAATATTGTTCATTCTCTTTTCATTAAGCAAGCATTGAGAATCATAATTGATCGTCAGGAAGAGTGCTGTATAGAGGAAAGAGCAGGTACCAGATTTACCTGTGTGGCCCTGGGCGGGTAACTCTTGGCATCTGTAAAAGGGACAGTGACACCTACCTCTTAGGATTCTCAGGGTTAAATGAGTTGATATAAAATAAACTCTTAGTGCTTTGAACATTTAGGCAGACCATAATTAATGGGTTTGTTTGTTTGTTACTTTTCCATTTAGATGGTATGGCTTTTGTTATAGCTAACTGATTGGACTTTTGAATAGATGAGGTGGACAGAAAGTATTCCAAGGATTGTTGAAGCTCAGTTTCAATCTGTAAATATAATAGTTGGTAGCTAAGGAACAGTCAAAAAGTGTAGTATTATTTCTTATAGGAGCTGAAGTGGCTCTTTTAAAAAATAAAAAGAACAACAAACAAACTCACAGACACAGGTAATAGTGTGGTGGTTACTACAGGGGAAGGGGGTGGGGGATGCTGAAGAGACTAAAGGGGGTTTAAATGTTTGGTGATAGGAGACTAGATTTGGGGTGGTAAGCGCACAGTGCAGTATACAGATGATATATCATAAAATTGTACCCTGAAACTTAATAATGTTATTAGCCTAGGTTACCCGATAAATTTCATTTAAAAAAAAAAAAAAAAGAATAAAAGTAGTCTAAGACAGTATAAATATGTCTGTATTTTATAGGTCAGATGTGGTCTGCCTGCCTCTGTCTATGTAGGAAATAGCAGCCCTTTCACTTCCTTAAAAAAGTGCATCAATTGATCAAAAGGTTTCATATTCAGCTTGACAGGCATTGTGCTATGTGTTGGGCACCCAAGATAAAAGTCTGGGCTCCTACCTGAAGCTCACAATCCAGTGTGGGAGCCAAC